CTCAGAATGTCGGGCATGAGCTCTTCGTCTGTGTTACTGAAGGCCAGGCGAATTGTTTTTTCCTCAGAATGTCGGGCAAGACCTTGCCCGATATTCTCAGGACCCATCTTCAGGAGGAGCCTGACGTTGAACATTTGTCCTCCTGAAGATGTCATCCTCGGGTTGCTCGGTTGTGCGCAATGCCCTTCGAGCATGGGTGACCGCAAACTGGTCCTTGAGAGGGCCCCAACTGCCATCGGAGACCGATTTTTTGATCCTGGCCTCGGATGGCATTTGGGACCCTCTCAAGGACCAGTTTTCCATCACCCATGCACGAAGAGCGCTTCGGACAACCGAACAACCCGAGGATGCCGCAAAGCAGTGGTTGAAAAGGCCGCCAAAGTCAGCGCAGCGGACAACGCAGCTGCCATAGTGATAGTTTTCAAGTTCCCAGAGCCTCTGCCGAAGCGTAACACGAGGCCACGTATGACCCTCGCGGCGAGGGTCATACGTGGCCTCGTGTTCCGCTTCGGCAGAGGCTCTGGGAACTTGAACACTATCACTATGGCAGCCCTCAACCCTCGCCGGCTTGAATGAGCCATAAGTCCGAGACGGACATGACATGACATGAAATTCGATGCATCCAGCGACAGACATTGATTCTGAAGAGCACTATTGAAACTAGGCGTTTGAAAAGGAATTTCTGAAGAGAGCAGTGCCACTCAGCATGATTTGTGACGGGAAACCTGGTTGGCCACCGCGCGCCCATCAGACAATGCCCAAAGAGAAATCAGCAAGCCCAGCCTCCACTTGCCCTACTTTCCATAAGACAGGCCAGGGTTTCAAGGTGTCTCACTCACAAGCCAACACTCCAAGCCATATCCCCAGAAAGATGCCACTCGCTTGGTATTTCCTTGCAGCTGCATGCAACGCGCGCCAGCTGGAGCAGTGTTGCACTCAGAAATGCTTCGCCGCAGGACATTTCAGGAACATCCCACTGCACTTCAAGCTTGGCCGATCTCCTCAGTCGATTCCTGTGAGTGTCCTTGGCACCAAGGCTTCATGGAGCTAGACAGGAAGGATTGGCCTTTGTTTCCAGAGTCAGGCTCTGGGGACTTTGCAAATTGCAAAGGGCATGAAGCGACTAAGCCTTATTGTCAATGCCAGGTTATGACACGCAGAGCACAAAGCCGAACCATCCAAGGCCAGCAACCTGGCTCCAGGAAGTGCCGAAATGCACAACCACAACGCATGCATGTCTCTCTCTCTCTCTCTCTCTCCCTCCCTCTCTCTCTTTCCGCTTCTTGTTCCTCATAGAACAGGATGAGCCACTTATGCTTCGGCGCAAGCGGAAATACGAGAGCGAAGGCCTGCTGGTGTGTTCTTGTCAGGCTCTGGGCAACAGGGAGCAGGTATCAATATCACACAAGTGGCTGTGTAT